TATTTAAAAATTGAATATGATCTTTTCACTTGACTTATTTAAATAAAAAGATTTTGGTTAAATAGATCTAAAATCATCTTTAAAATTTGATGTCCTCGTTAATTGGTTTTGTTAGTTTGCAAGTATAACAGTGATATTTAAATTCACCCTCCATCAAAAATAAAGTCTTAAATTGTCACAATGAGTGATACTTCATGAGGAATAAAGCTTAATTTTCATCCCGCGTCAAAAATGATACTGACATATCGCACCATATCATCGCATGGAGATGTAGATAATTTAAAACCAACCCTTTACGGAATAAATTATCAGTTTTAAAACATCATTGTTACTTTCTAAAATACTTAAACTGTTTAAGTTAAACATATATTAAAATTTTATGTAATATTCTTGAATGTAGGTCTTTACGGTTTCCTCGGTTTTAATATTACAATAGCGTAAAGTATAGTCGTAAAATGTTTGCCTACGCTGTTCCATGGAAAATAAGATGCCGTCAATATATACAAAATAATAAGTAAAAGTTTCATAATATCGCATTGTTTTGGAACGAGTGAAATTCTTTGTTTCAAGATGTTTTAGACTATTCCAAAGACAATTCCATTCTCAATTAACTGTTCGTTTAGACTAAATAAAAAAAGAACAATTTGGTATTATTGTCAACAGTGGCACGGTTTGTGCACTTCGCTTCGAAACCCCTTACATTGCTGTGAGTCAAAAGGAAACTTTAACGCTCACAAGTGTTGTTCAGTCCTTTTAATTACAGCTAATTTCCCAAATGACTCGCATGCCGCCATTATACAGCAATAAGTTAACACTTGCACACAATTAATTATCAAATTACATTATTAATTTTACTAATTGCTGGGTTGAACGCACCCAAGTGTTTTGTAGCATGACCTATCTCCAGAGATTTGGAAAAACTAATCTAAACGAATTGAATAAGGGTTAAAAAAAAACGGTTTCCAAACATGAAATTAAATTAGCTTATTGGGTTCGTAAACACCTACGAAATCGACCAAGTGTGGTAAAATCAAAGGGATTCTATTCGATCACGATTTCTCCGTCTGGAGGACCCTCTTGAGACGATCATTTGAAGAAATTGGCCTAATCCCCTTCAAGTAGTTTTCCTTTTTACAAATAAAACAGGTAAAAATATTTCTTTGTGCTGCAAACACCGTAATAAGTATATATTCTATATATCGGGATGCATCGCAATCAATGGAAAAAGCATTCATGGAAGAAAACAATTAGATGGTATGTTAAGAATTCTTTAGGCATTTACGTGGTCGACTTAGATAGCACGACTAACATATAAGTGGCTGATATAATGAAAATACAGATACAAGATGAAATAAATTTAATTAAATGGTCCAGTGCATGAACCAAGAATCTCCAAACAATGAAGTTTAACAAAAAAATATATATAAATGTGCGGCCAAAGTAAGTAAAATATATAGCCTGGCAACAGTTTCATTTCAACATGATCTCCAATAAAAGATAAAGTTTATTCAATCAAATATGTTTGGAGCAAATGAGGGTAAGGGATTGATGTTATTACAAAATTTGTAATATTATTTAATATTATATTCAGCCCATAACGAAATATTATCAAGTTAAAATTACTTGTTATAGTGTGAATGGCTCTTTAGATTTAAACCTAATGGAAATGTGCACTTCCTGAAAAATTTTAGAAATGATTGCATTCAAAGTTTATCTGATCAAGGTAAAATTAACAATATTTAATTAAATATAACATTGATTTATATTAAAAGTTATAATGCTTCAACCAAAAATTAAAAATAAATGAAATAAGAATAGTCTTTGTTTCTTTTAATTTATTCCAATGGAAATAAAGTAAGTTATTACTGTCTTACAGTAAATACCAATGTTTTCACTGTCTTGAAAAATACTTGTTATTTGCCCAATTATCATTCCCATGCGGCCTATATTCAATTAAATGATTGCTAAAATTCAGACAAATGCGTCAGGGCATCCCCATGCCACACCGCACATCGGCAACCTGCATTTGCGTACGTGCCTATACTCTCTAAAAATGAATTAGTCAAAAATGATTAATTTGATAGTTATAAGTGGCTGCTTTTTCACTTGTACCATGGTTAACCATGGAATACCATGGTATCCAAAAATTTAACAGCCAATTCTTATGTAAAATTGTCCCCTGAATACGAAAATTTAAACTATATCTCAAAAACTGTTTCACTTTTTTAACTTTTGACGGTATTTTCGGATTCAGAAGACAATTTTACATAAGAATTGGATGTTAAATTTTTTGATACCATGGTATTCAATGGTTAACCATGGTACAGGTGAAAAAGCAGCCACTTATAACTATCAAATTAGTCATTTTTAGAGTAGTTAAATGTGATCAACTGATTAATCGGTATTTCTGGTGATTCCAATTGATATAAGTGTATGGGTTATCTCTGGATGGGGTAGTGTTTGGTTGTTTGTTATATTTGCTAATTTCTTGGGGGTTGTACTTCCTAATCCCGAATTGTATATGTTTTTTAGTTGTATATCCGCCATGCATTGTCCAGTAATTTAATTACTCAATTATATCTAAATAATAACAAAAAGGTAAAAGTGTACTCATATAGGTATATACCTTGGACACAGTTTATAATAGCTATTTTGCTTAAATGAACGAAGTTTTTATTTATTTATAAAAAAACGTATCATAGTCTTTTAGTACCATCATGATATCCTTGCAGGGCGTCCTGAAATTATATATTGCTTTAGGATTTTCAGCAATCTTTAGGATTCGCCTCTAAATACGTAAGATGAAATTCCTATTTCGTTTTAGAATAAGCATGTGCCATGGCAGACAGATCCTGCACATCCAGTACAGTAACTGTTGCTAGTGATGGGTCAGCAACTTTCTTAGAGCCTAATATCACCAACACTTCTATAGAGTTCCTAATAGTTCCTTCAGAAAAAAGAACAATTTCATTTTATGGATCGAAAAACCTGTGTACACAAGACTACCAGAAGCAGTTTCCAGAATTCATTTTATTTAAAGTTCATATTAATGTATTATACAACTAATATTTGCACAAGAATATACATATTTAAAGGAAATAAAGCTTTGATTGCATTTAATGTAGCCATTCGTTATAAACCATAACTTTATTTATGCCAATGATAGTTTTTCATTAAGATTCATTGTGGCTTCAATTAAATAACAATTTAATTCAATAATTTCTTATGTTTTAACTAACTAAGTTTTAATACGGATTTGATAGAATCACAATTTAATTCAATGTCTTGTTATGTTTGAACTAATTTTAAGCAGGTTTACACAAATAAAAGTAAGACAATCATTCATTTGATCATAGCTGTAATTCAGGTATTGCAAATACAGTATACCATTGGCTCAACGGTTAACCCATTCACAATATAAAAGCTTTTTCTCTGTGTATACTCGTACACATAATTACATTTAAAAATAATATACGAGCCCTAACCACATAATGTTCGGACACTTCATAATTTATACAGAAATTTTTTTCGTGAATACTATCTCAAAATTATTAGAAGTTATGAAAAATTCAGCTTATTTTGGCATATACCCCTCGAAGCGATTTTTATTTTTAAAAAGTTTACCTTTTATTTTTAGCTTTTAAAAAAAGGCTAACTTTTTAACTTTTTTTTGTATGAGTAAAAAAAGTTATAAATGGACCCATTAAAAAGAGCATAAAATATTATACAAACCCTGAAAATTTGGTAAAAAATAAATAAGTTATAAAAAAGTATAAGTAATTTAAAAATGCTATTTTTAAAGAGTTTTTGCAATTTTCTTAGGAAACGGGAGATTTTGCAGATATATATATCGCTATAACTTTCTTATTATTTATACATTTTTTACCAAATTTTCAGGGTTTGTATAATATTTTATGTTCTTTTTAATGGGCCCATTTATAACTTTTTTTACTCATGCAAAAAAAAGTTAAAAAGTTAGCCTTTTTTTAAAAGCTAAAAATAAAAGGTAAACTTTTTAAAAATAAAAATCGCTTCGAGGGGTATATGCCAAAATAAGCTGAATTTTTCATAACTTCTAATAATTTTGAGATAGTATTCACGAAAAAAATTTCTGTATAAATTATGAAGTGTCCGAACATTATGTGGTTAGGGCTCGTAGTAAGGTTAAAAGGTGAAGCCCTCTACAATGTTGTTATCCTATATTTTTATATTTTATGGACACTTTCAACGCAATCCCAGTTTATTACTGAAGGCATTAGTTAAATCAGGTTTATGTAGGAGATTACTATGGGAGTTTATGGGACCATTTACACCTTGCAGTAAAATAAAACTAACTCTAAAAAGTAGAGTGAAATTTAGGATTGACTTTACTTGGGTTCGGTTGGAAAAATATTACCAAAAATTGCCGTCCAAAGTAAAATAACCGTTAACTGCAATTCGATTAAAACTAGGAAAAGAGTTTAGAAGAAAATAAATAAAAAATGTTAATTAACTATTGAGAAATAAAAACCAATTAAATTTAAAATTGGTACTTGGTCAAAGAGCGTTGTTATCACAGAACGCCCGCAAACTGCCTTCATTGGGTTTGTATACAAGTCCCAAACTATCTTAAACAGTCAGACGCCTATAGGTCAGTTAACCTATAGGTTAACATGCAGATAAAAGATTGACAGAATGCAGTTAACGCTTTTATCATAGACAACGGACCTCAGACCATTCATTGCACAAGGTTTTTTATGTTTGTAGAGTGTTTTTTTGGAATTCTTCAAAATTATTGTTAGTTAACGCTTGCTTTCAAATTTAGTCTGTCGTTAAATTCTTTCAAAATCAAAAAGGTCAGTAAAATGCAGAATTTCCTTAGGGTTCCGATATTCAAAGCTAATTTTTTTACTTTGGAAGGCAATAGTTTTTAAATGTTTTGTTCATACCTGCATGCAGGTACTGTACCTGTGTAACACATGTGTATATATAAACCAGGTACAAAAATCTGAGTAACTTACCGTTGCTTCTACAGCTTCGTGCGCAACACCGTTCGTTGTGATTTTGGCATCAATATCGGCGATTTTCTCCAATTTTCCCTCCCCCTCTACGGTCACCTCCCCCTCGCCCTTTTTTGGGGTCGTTGTGATGTCCACAGACCTTTTCGACTGCCTTGCTCCCATTTTTTGTGTTTCTGTTAGTTGTGTTAGTCTGTCTGCAACAATATTATGGAAAAAATATTTAGTTAAAATGTTTTTTAATTCTATTAAAATAACAACAAAGCAAAGCCAATGAACAATATTGCTTCATTGTTATAAATTGCATTGTACAGTTTAATTTTTTTATCAATATTATTTACACAAAGCGTGATACATTGCACATATCAACAAGGCCACTGTACCACATCATAAGGAATTTTATTGTTATTGTTATTTGATTGTCGCGAAAACAGTTTTTAACCTAATTTAAATTTTATTCATATATGGATAATTTTTACAAAAATTAAATAAGAAAACTTATAGTATACTACCTATAGTACTATAGTCTGAGAAAAAAGTAATGCAGTTTTTTTATTGTTCACATACTGTACCTAAAGGTATATATATTTAGGTACAACTCGACAAATGTAGCTAGAGACTTTAAAAACTTGCAGTGTGCGGAAAACGTTAAAAAGAGACCGCATTCGGAAGAAAAGAGATGCATGATACGACCGATCTCGGCCGCACAGAGGACTAATAAAGGTTTAAATATCAACATTATTAAAGTTATTTAAGAGTAAAAAATAGTAAATTTTTGATTTATTTATACAATTAGAATAGAATTATATTATTATTATTATTTAAGGTAATAGGTATGTTTAAAAGAGGTAACATAAATGAAAATAAAAATAGGTTATAATCCTTTTTAAAATTTGTGTTAGGGTTAGGTACGTTTTTATTGATAAGTATTAACAAATGATGGTAAATTAACAATTATTAGTAGTGAGTAGCCGCTTTTATTGATAATGGATTTTAAATCAAAATTCAGGCGCAGGCTGATAAATGTCCAACTTCAACGATCCGAAAAGATGACATAAAGAAATGACTAGAGTACGAAATTTTCCTTTTTTAGAAGATTTGTTAAAAGCAGAAGTATATTCTTTAGTAAAAGCTCATAAACCAAAGTATAAAATATACGAAATCGATACTATAATAAGAAATGCAGGATTCACCGTTTTGGGGCTTCCTTCATATCACCCAGATTTAAATCCTATCGAGTTAGTATGGGCAACCTTAAAAAAAATATGTTAATGAGAGAAATGTAAACTTTAACTTTAAACAAGTAGATAAATTGTGTGAGGATTTTTTTCCACATTTTCCCAGGAAGAATGGCAGAAGCGATGTCAGCACGCTAGAAAGTTTGAGAAATATTAAGAACCGGCTTTGGATTTAGTCGTGGATGATTTAATTATTAATATTCAAGGGGACAGTGACAGCTCGGACGAATTTGATCCGTTGCAGAAAAAAAAAATTTATTTAATAAATAACAGGATAATATTAATAAATTTTGTATACTTGATTTACTTTCATTTTAATCCACTGTGCGGAGCGTTCTTTATCTTAATACTTTAATTACGTGAGATAAAAATAGGGGGGGAGGGGTCTAGCAAAATCTCACCAAATCTCATGTTAAGGGAGGGGGGTCATTAAAAATCTCACGTCAACTTTTGGGTTTATTTATTTATTATAATTCAAATTTGTCAAAAAAAAGTAATCAATTTTTATTTTTTGGGTTTATCATGTCAGCAAAGAAAGTTTAATGGCTAGAATCTCACGTGAGGGATCTACCGCATCTCACCAAATATCACCAAGGGGGAGGGAGGGGTCCAAATTATCAGAAAAATGCCTCACATAATTAATGGATGTCCACTAAGGCAAACTCAATGCAAATGACGATTTTAAGAGCTGGCATCTGCGCATCGATGGGCGTGTACATTCCTACGTCTCTAGCTAGATTTGCCAAGGTATATAAATATATACTTCTTTATAAATTTTTCTTCATCAGAAGAAAAATTAAAATTAAAACGTGATTTAGCTAGGCCAAGAGTTGAATTTTTTTAAAAGAGCGCATATATTCGACCAAGCATTTAACAAACCGATGTCTGTATTCGCCATATATCCCCAATCTCTATATACATTATAACGAGGGGTTTTAAAGATTTGGATAAGCGCTGGTATATGAATGTAGAAGCAAATGTGGACAAACAAAAATTAATAAACTAACCATTTGCGTTTTTTTTTTTTTTTAATTTTCGTTACTTTTGGAACAAAAGATTTATGCGATTTTAAACGTTTAAAACCTGTTTGATTTGCCCCAGTAAAGCGGATACATTTCTATTATAGGTATATCTAAAAGGGTTTTTCTTCCTGCCTTTTAACGGAACAATTATTTTACAAACATTATAACGACCGTAAGAGTTAATTTAATTCATGAGGGTTATTTTAACGGTTGTTAAAAATAATGACAACCATTTTATAAGTGTGTCTATAGAACTTTTGAAAGTCTGCACACAACGAAATGCAAATATTTAGTAGACTTACAGGTAGATAAAAAAGTGAGCAAATACGTTAAGCAACGTGCGAACTAAGCACGTGTTCGGTAACCCTCTGGAAACCAGGTAAAAATTTGAAACAGTATTTAAAACTTTATGTGTCCTCAATATAATTCACACAGTCTGTCTGGATGCAAATACTTACGTAAAATATAAAAATGTCACATACAAAAAAAAGTTATACACAAAAGTGCTCTTTACTTCCTAGAAGTCCAATAAGCCAAATGAACAAAATAACTTAAATTTAGCATTTATTAAAGTGTATAAAATAGTTTTTAAATACCTGCAATATTATTGCCAAATAAGGTTTTATGTTTTCTATGATGAATAAATCGGTTTCAACGTCACTTCAATATAAACTGGTATACATTTGGGAATATGACATGAAAATTTTTGTGAACGTCATATTTTTTTCGTTGTAATTGACATCTATACGAGTGTTACAGGTGATTAATAAAAATCTCAGGACAATTGGAATAATTTGAAGAGATTTTTTTGATAAAGCCATTTATCATCTGATAGATGAATTATAGATATGTGGGTAGGTTAATTGTACAATTTGTTATGCTAAACACCCTTGTATAGATTTGAAATATTTTGATTTATCGACTATAGTCATTTATGAATGACTCCATTGCATACAGTAAATTATGAACTAGAATTAACTTTTAATTTAGTATTCTTAGCATTAGCTATTTAATGTGTTTTGTTAACATTCTATGTAATAGTTTGGCACCAAAACATGTTACACAGGCAATTAAAGAACTACTTTATCACGTTTACAAGATTTACAGCTACAAACTTGTAAGTAGTAGAGGGTATACAATATGCTTTTTGTTGAGTTTGGCCACAGTTTGACAAGCTAAACAAATGTCGTTTTTAGCGGTAAATGCCACTGCAATTTTGCCACATGGTAGCCAACAATTTCTGGAGTAATTAGGGAACGCTGATTCCAAAAATGACCATCATTTTGCTCAATTAGCAATATTGTGGAAAACCAGTTTTGTTTAACATGCATAATTAAAATTCGTATATTTTGTTAATCAGATCATTTAACCGACGATTATCGGTAATAATAAACCTAAAAAAAATTATATAGTGAAGGTTGTTTTAAGTGTCATTTTTACCATTTTTATTTGATTTTAACAGAATAAGGTATAGATAAAGCTAAAAAATTTTGTAGATTGCATTTAAATCGGAGAAATATTATTTGTGTTACATTTAAATTTTTTAAATTGGCCAATTTTGGCGAAAAAAATCTGCTGTAAACGCAAAAATTAACTTTTAATTGTCTTTAGGTTGGTACGACAAAATTTTTGTTTATGTGTTAACTTCACTATGCTCCGCTCAAGGATGTATAAAAACGAGTAGAAATTAACGATGTTTTTCTCGCTATCCCTTAAAATGCAGCAAAAGTCAAATCTGCGCTTGTCATGAAACAGTGTACATATATCGTCACGAGATTCTCGTGGCGAAAGGCGGCGATTTCTGAAGAGTGTGAAGTTTGCTGCACGAGCGGGGCAATATGTAATGTACCTACTTTTTTTAAATTTAAATGTCAAAATTTTCATTCTACATTTTGGAAAGTTACCACCGATTCGGTCGGTAATGCAGTTGCCGTTACTGTCAAATTTCGTAGTGAAATGAAATGCGTATTTATTTATGATAAAACAAAATTCTTTGTACAATACTTAAGTATTATTTTGAATGTATATTTACTTTCATCAATTTTTTTAAAGTTTTTTTTAATCCCGGTACTTATCGCATATGCTAAGAGAGCGCTTTACCTTGTGAGTTACGCTGCCTAATAGTATACTATATAAGTTATGTTCTGGCAATTCTAAATTATTGATAACGTTTTAAAAGTAGCTTCGGCAGGCTCTGAGCACAATTCTGCGCGCCTTAAGCTCCATATAGATGCGAATTGCGAAAAATGCTCCTTGATTTGGCGGGAAAAGCGAATTCGCAAGATTTGAATCTAGGGGGCGGGAATGAGATTGATCCAATATTTTGCGAAAATCGCACAAATTTGGCCTGTTGCGCATGCGTTTCGCATGCACTTAAATGCAATTGCTTATCATACCTAGTAGGTACTACCTAGGCGATTTATGTTTATTTCGTTTGTATCGTAGGGTTTGTTTTGTTGGGTTTTATTCGAACTGTTTAAATAAGTGTTTAAATTTTTTTAAATTTTTTATAATGCACAAAGAGTTTTTTGAGGTACATTAGTGTTTCCTATTTTACCTTTATAGTCACTTTAAGTAACTTTGCTATTTTAGTACCTAAAATAGCATGGAAAATATCGCCTAGTGAGAAAACAATGTCACTAAAATAGTTCGCATCTATATGTATTAGGGTGTGTCATTTTTAGGTGACATTTTTTTTTCGCTGTTATACCAGAAAATCTAATACTTTATAGAAAATAAAAAATTATGCCGCCGGGTAAAAGGTTCTAAGTGCAATAGCGGCTTAGCTCATTTAAAAATTCAATTTCCCATTGAAATAACACAGACAATTTTTTTTGTTCGTTTTAATTAGATTTTTCGCTGTTAAAAACTTTTTTCCCTAAACACTTTTTTATAGCTTTTGTAGGAAATTAAATTCTCTACAAAATCATCCCTTTG